GCCCAAAATTGAGTGGGCCCCAAACGTCTTTTGGGGTGGGTCCGAAGAGGTGATGTGTTCCTTGCCGCATGGCAAGTCACACGGTGAAGACAGAACGTCAAAACCATTAAAAAAAAAAAACAAATGCATGACCAGGTTTAGTTTTGCAAAGACTATTTCTCCAATCCTTTATACAGGTAGCATTCACAGGTAAATTGTGTTGGAAAAATGGTGTTATATAGGCTTATTTTGGGCCATCTTTGAGCCCAAAATTGAGTGGGCCCCAAACGTCTTTTGGAGTGGGTCCGAAGAGGTAATGTGTTCCTTGCAGCATGGCAAGTCATACGGTGAAGACAATTCGTCAAAACTATTTGTGAGTGAATGGGAACTTAACATCGTTTTCGGGTTCGTGGGATGGACGTTTAAAGATTTAAATGTAAGTTTCCTTTTAATAGGTTGTCCCACATTGAAACTTTCAGAGAGCTTTTTTGTGTATATAAGCTCTAGACTACAACACTTGGGTTGGGCCCCAAGGGGCACCCCAAGTTTGCAGAAGGGAGGAGTTATGGACAAAGTGAACCTTAACCCAAACCACCACACGCGCCGCCGTCGTCCGACCGGCCATGCCAGGAGCAATTGTGGGTCGAGTCGGTTCTAATATTAATTTTTTGGACAAAATTCGTTTGAATTTTTTCAAATTTCTTGTGGAAAAAATTTAATTTGAATTCATTTTTTGTCCAACTTTTTTGTGCCTCTTCCAATCCAAATTCTATACAAATTCAAACTGTTTTCAGTTATTGAACTTCCAGAAACTGTCCAGCAGTTTCGGTTGTAACTGCCAGTAGTTTACAGAATTCAAAAGGGGCCAGATCTGTTTGAATCTGTTTGGAACAGTTTTGTATCTGTTCAAAATTCAAATCTAAATCTGTTGGACAGAATCACATCTGTTCAGACAGGAAATCTTTGCCTATAAATACCTATTTTTCAGCAGTCTTGTAATTCGGAAAAAAAAAACAGTCTGAAAATAATACTTTTGCTGTCCAAACTTTTATCTTAGGTGCATTATTCTTCATATTAGTTTTAGAATAAAATTCAGAGAGTTAAAACACAAGTTTGGTTCGCTGTACAAATTGTTTGGAGTGCTACTACAATTTGTGAAGATCATTGTATCTTGGGAGATAGACGCCACTTAATTGTAAGCACTGTAGCGGGGCGAATCTGTCTTAAAGACAGAGTGTCTCACACTTGACTTGGTCTTTTTATTTTCTATTTGGTTCGACAAAATAAATTCTGTAAGTTTTTTATTTTATTTTGTTTGATTTAGTTTCAATTTATTTTATTTACACAGAAGATTGTTTCAACAATCCTAAGACAGATTCGAATTATTCTATTTACAGAATTTTTCGTTTGTTTTCATTTCTCTTTCTTCTTTTACAAAAAATTATTTTCTGTAGATTTACAAAATAATATTCTTGTTGGGAAAAAAAAATTAGTGATTATATACTATTTGACAGATAGTAGTAATATACTGTCTATTTTCTTTGACAACTAGTAGTAATATACTGGTGTTATTAACAATTCAGAATATTTATTTGTGAAATTTTTTCAAAAATTAATTTTGGTTTTCAGAAATTATTTTTGAGTATTCATTAATTAAAATTCTTTTTTAGTGTTTTAATTATTGAAGTATTACAGAAATTTAATTTTCTATGTGGAATTAATTTGGTTAAATGAAATTTTATTTTATTTCCAAATTGATTGAAAAATAAAAGTTACATTTTTTGTTTCTTTTATTTTTACAGAATTTAATTTTGTGAATTTGGTTTAATTTTCTATATAGTATAAATTCTAATTATAATTTTGTTTTATAATTTAAAATCCATGGCTACTGAAACTAATGCACAAACAAGTACTAATATGGTGGCTGCAATTGCACCAACCTCCTCTCCTATGGTGATAGTACCAGTAAATCACAGTGAGAAACCAGAGAAATTCTCTAGAACTAATTTTCAAAGATGGCAACAAAAAATGTTGTTCTATCTTACAACTCTGAACTTGACTCGTTTTCTCCGTGAGGATGCTCCTATTTTGAAAGATGATGAAACCGACCGGCAAGTGGTTGCTGCGATTGATGCCTGGAAACATGTTGATTTCCTTTGCCGGAACTACATCTTGAACGGACTTGACAACACATTATACAACGTATATAGTCCTATCAAGACAGCAAAGGAACTTTGGGAGTCTTTGGAAAAAAAATGCAAAACAGAAGATGCCGGCTCAAAGAAATTTGTGGTTGACAAATTCTTGGACTTTGTAATGATTGATTCTAAAACTGTAATCAGCCAAGTTCAAGATCTCCAACTCATTCTGAATGACATTCACGCAAAAGGCATGTCTCTCAATGAATCCTTCCAAGTTGCAGCCTTAATTGAAAAATCACCACAAGGCTGAAAGGATTTCAAGAACTACCTCAAACACAAGCACAAAGAAATTTCTTTAGAAGAATTAATTGTGCGTTTGAGGATTGAGGAGGACAATCGCAATTCTAAAAAGCGAGCTGGTAAGCATCCTATGGAGTCTAAGGCAAATGTGGTGGAACATGCTTCAAAAACCAAGAAACGGAAGTCTTCTGGAGAGAGTTCATCACAAGGCTCTAAAGGGGGGAAAATAAAAAGTACATGTTTAATGGCAAATGTTACATCTGTGACAAAGAGGGACATCGGGCCAAAGATTGTCGTAGCAAAGGCAAAAGCAAAAGAAGAACAAGAAAGAAGCCTACTCAAGCCCATATGACCGAAGTGGACAATATTTCCAATGGTGTAGATGACATCAATCTTTCTGCAGTTGTTTCTGAGGCAAATCTTGTCGAAAATCCTAAAGAATGATGGGTGGACACTGATGCTACTCGCCACATCTGTGCCTACAAAAGATGTTCACATCTTATTCTATAGTGGACAATGGTGAACAAATTTTTATGGGCAACTCCTCAACTTCCAAAGTTGAAAGACAAGGGAAGATTGTTCTGAAGATGACATTTGGAAAGGAACTCACTCTCAACAATGTGCTGCATGTACCGGACATTCGCAAGAATTTTGTTTCCAGATCTTTGTTGAGTAAGAATGGGTTTATGCTAGTTTTTTAGAGTAATAAATTTGTACTTACTAAGAATGGGATGTATATAGGAAAAGGTTACATGTCTGATGGCCTTTTCAAGATGAATGTAATGACCGTTGTACCCTCAGTTATTAATAAAAATACGTCTTCTTCTTACTTGTTTGAGTCTTCAAATTTATGACATGATAGACTAGGACATGTTAATTATGGATCTTTATGTAGATTAATTAATATGGAATGTTTACCTAAATTGACATTGATTCAAATCATAAGTGTGAAATTTGTGTTGAGGCAAAATTATCCAAAACTCCTTTTCATTCAATTGAAAGAAGTACGGAACCACTTGAATTAATTCATAGTGACATTTGTGATTTTAAATCAATTGAAAGTAGAGGTGGGAAAAAATATTTTATCACTTTTATAGATAACTATACTAGATATAGTTATGTTTAGTTAATTCGAACCAAGGATGAAGCTTTGGAAACTTTCATTCAATATAAGAATGAAGTTGAAAATCAACTTGGTAAGAAAATCAAAAAACTATGAAGTGATAGAGGTTGTGAATATGAATCACCTTTTGGTGAGTTTTGTAAAGAACATGGAATAATTCATCAAATCACCACTCCTTACTCACCTCAGCAAAATGGAATTGCTGAAACGAAAAATAGGACTTTAAAAGAAATGATGAATGCCATGTTAATAAATTCTGGCTTACCTCAAAACTTGTGGGGGGAAACAATACTTTCTGCTAATTATATACTTAATAAAATACCCCGAAAGAAAGTGAATCAAACACCTTATGAATCGTGGCATGGAAGAGTACCATCCTATAAATACTTAAAAGTGTGGGAGTGTTTGGCTAAAGTGACTATTCCTAGTCCTAAAAAGACTAAGACAGGTCCTAAGACCATTGATTGCATTTTCATTGGTTATGCCAAGAATAGTAGTGCATATCGGTTTTTAATTTATAAATCAGAACATACCGAAATGCATATAAATACTATTATTGAGTCTCAGAATGCATCATTCTTTGAACATGTATTTCCAAATAAGACTGGACAAGAGACTAGTATTAATAAAAGATCTTTTGATGCTATTACTAGTAATGATTAAGAACAAGATCAAGAGAAAGAGATAGATCAAAATGAGGAAGAGGAACTTAGGCTTAGTAAACGTGCTAGAATCTCAAAATCTTTTGTTCCATATTTTCTAACATATTTGTTAGAAAATGAGCCTTTAACTTTTAAAGAGGCTATGTCCAGTCCTGAAGCTCCTTTATGGAAAGAAATTGTCAATAGTGAAGTTGAATCCATCTTGCAAAATCACACTTGGGAATTGGTGGATTTGCCACCAGGTTGTAAACCTCTTAAGTACAAGTGGATTTTCAAAAGAAAAATGAAAGCGGATGGATCAATTGACAAATACAAGGCAAGACTTATGGTCAAAGGTTTTAGAAAAAAAGAAAGTCTTGATTACTTTGACACATACTCACCGGTTACTAGAATAACATCCATTAGGATGCTAATTGTCGTTGCATCTCTATACAATCTAGAAATTCATCAAATGGATGTGAAAACCGCTTTCTTAAATGGTGAGTTAGATGAAGAAATTTATTTCAGTTCTAGGAAAAGAAAAGAAAGTGTGTAAATTGGTTAAATCATTATATGGTTTAAAGTAAGCACCAAAGCAATTAGGGCTGGGCATAGGGTTATCCGAACTGCCCAAACCGCCCTACCCGAACCGAACCGCACACGTGTGGGCAGTTTCGCAAACACATTAGGGTAGGGTGCGGGTTGAATTTTCTAGAAATTTTGGATTGCGAGCGGGTTGCGGGTTTGACCCGCACCCGCCCAACCCGCCCGCATTAAATTAAATTTTTTTTTCCCCTCTTTCAAATCTAGCCGTCCATCTTCTCCCTTACCTCATCTATTACAACAAACAAAACAAAAAACCCTACATTCGCCTCCCTCACTCTTTCAGTCTCATCTCAAAACTCATCACTGTCTCTCTCTCTCTCACTCTTTCGTTTCGTTATTCTGCTGCGCCGATCACTCTCTCTCACTCTCTCGTTGTTCATCTCATCGCACCGCCGATCTACTCATAGGTAAACTCTCTCTCTCTCAATCTCTCTCTCTCTCGCCCCGATCGTTGATTTTTTTTTGTTTTATATATATATATATATATATATATCAGATATCATACATATCTCTCTGATCTGATCAGATCCACAGTTTGGTTTTGCATCTCTGCACCGATCGACTCACAGGTAAGCCTTTATCTCTCTCTCTCTCTCTTTCTCTCTCTCTCTCTCTCTCCCTGATCTCTCGCCTCTGCACCGATTGAAACTGAGTGTTTAAATCTGATTTTTTTTTTGTTGGACCAACAGATCTGTTCTTTTTATTTTGGAATCCGTGTGTTTGTTTTGTTTTGGAATCTGATCTGTTCTGTTAAATTTGTGTTAATTTGTGTTAAATCTATGTTAATCTAAATCTGTGTTAAAGTAGTATCCAGAACAGAATTGATAAATGCTGACTGACTAAAACTAGTCTCAGAGTTGGGCAACTTGGCAAGCAAATAAATTTTCTTTTATGATTGTGCTTCAGTTGAACACTCACTGCCCAGTTAATTTTATGAAAACAGTGTAAATATTAGATAAAAATGTTGTAATATGAACCAAAGACATTAAACTACTTCAAGATTCTTGAGCTGTGTGTTATTTAATTCTGAAATTAAATGTATGTTATTTAATTCTAATCTGTATGTTATTTAATTCTGAAACTGAATCTGTGTCTGTTTACATTCAAACTGAGTCTGTTTAATTGAATCTTTATATTTTTAATTTGTTTAATTTTTAATTTTTAATTTTTAATTTTTAATTTTTAATTTTTAATTTTTAAATCTGTTCATAAATCTGTTTAATCTTTAATTTTTTTTTGAATCAGTTCATAAATCTGAGTCTTTTCACCACGAGCAGGATTCAGTTCTGTGGTCAGAAAAACTGAGACCTTGTGCTGAAGCTCTATATATTGTTTTGTTTGAAAATCATAGTCAGGTACGTGTAGTCCATTCTTGGTATTAAACTCTTCCACAATTTTCAGTAGTTAAAATAAATGCACAAGATATGTTGGATAGATTTGGTATGCCTATTTGATTTTCATTGTATCCTTTAGCTGCTAGGTCCAGTTGTGGTTTCCATTCTTCAAGAGGCAATGAATGGTTGCCCGACTTCAGTCATTGAAATCACTCCAGGATTACTTCTCAAAGATGCTACTTATGGTGCTGCTGCCTATGTTTATTACGAGCTGTCAAATTATCTAAGCTTCAAAGAATGGTGTGTGCTTTTCTGTGTTTCCGTATCCGGTTCTTATGCATTTGTTTGTCTAATGCAGCTCGGTAATTACCTATTGCTTGGCATTTAAATGGTTATGACTTGCAAGAACAACTTATAATTGGCAAGTTTATTTATTTTTATTTTTGGTTATTTAAGCTGCATATGCTCTATTTTCCACAATTCTCAAACAACTTTAAATTAGGGGCATCACCTAGGATTTTGTTTTCATGGTTTTAAGTGTAAATTATCTGCATCCTTTGCATCTGTTGGAAACTATATTCATATTTATTGTGCCTCAAACCTGTCTGAGTGTTAAAATATTGTCAATTCTCTATTGAGCCAGAGTTTTCTAATTTTACATGACACAAACATTGACTTTGGAATCACCTAACTTCAATCCTATTTGAATTAAAAGGGCACCAAGGGGGTGTCACTCCTGGACATGAACAAAATTAAAATAGGGGAGGTAATTACAAAAATACAAAACTTTATCTTTTTAGAAAAAAAAGGGTTTAAAAATAATTTTTGAAAAAAAGTCAATCTGCAAACCGCCCGCACATCCGCGAACCCTATCCGCACCAACCGCAAACCGCATTGCGGGCGGTCGCGGGTTGACTTTTTCCCAAACCGCATAGATGCGGGCGGGTCCAAACCGAACCGCAAACCGTCCCAAACCGAACCGCGGACACCCCTAAAAGCAATGGCATGAGAAATTTGACAAGACAATGATGTCAAATGGATTCAAAATTAATGAGTGTAACAAATGTGTTTATATTAAAAACACAAATAAAGGTTCTGTCATTGTATGTCTTTATGTAGATGATATGCTCATCATAGGTAGTAATAATGATATGATTAAAACTACCAAGAAAATGTTGAATAAACATTTTGACATGAAGAACATGGGCATTGCTAATGTAATTCTTGGTATGAAAATTACGAAAACATCAGAAGATTATGCTTTGTCATAATCTCATTACATTGAGAAAATACTTGACAAATTCAGCAAAGATGATGATCATCTTGCTAGAACACCTGTAGATGTTAATTTGTTTCTATCTAAGAATGTACAGGAAAGTATTTATCAATTAGAGTATGCCCAAATTATTGAAAACTTAATGTACTTAATGACCTACACTCGCCCAGATATAGCTTATGCAGTAAGTAAATTAAATAGATATACGAGTAATCTAGGAATAGAACACTGGAAAGCAATTATAAGGGTTCTAAGATATCTCCGATTTACTTGTAACATTGGGCTGAATTATACTAGATATCCAGCAGTACTTGAAGGATACTGTGATGCAAATTGGATATCGGATACTAAAAACTCAAATTCCACCAGTGGGTATGTCTTTACTCTTGGTAGGGTGGCTATATCTTGGAAATCTTCCAAACAGACTTACATTACTAAGTCTACTATGGAATTTACTTTAGACAAAGCTGGGGAAGAAGCAGAATGGCTTCGCCACTTCCTTAAAGATATTCTAATATGGTCAAAACTGGTGCCTGCTATATGCATACATTGCGATAATTAATCAGCAATAGGTAGAGCACAGAGTCGTATATATAACGGTAAGTCGCGACACATTCGTCGTCGACATGACACCGTAAGGCAACTACTCTCTAATGGAATTATTTCCATTGAATATGTGAAGTCTAAAGAAAACATAGCGGATCCACTAACCAAAGGGTTAACAAGAGAGTTAGTTGAGAATTCATCGAGAGAAATGGGACTTAAGCCTATTAAATAAGAGTTACCACAACGGCAACCCAACCTAATTGACTGGAGATCCCAAGATCTAGGTTCAAAGGGACAACCGAGTTGTGTATGACTCAGAAAGATCACTAGGGAGTCCAACTCCTACCCATTTCTAGGATGAAATAAGTGATGTCTGCAGCGGTTTAGGTTAAGTAATACTTTTAATGATTCTTATATCTAGATAAACCTAGTGAAGTATGGCAGGATACTCTTCATAAGAATCACCTATGTGTGTGTGAATTGGGCCGGTTCTATGAGATTTGTGAAGGGCTACAATTCTCTAGAGCACTCATGAAAGACCAGGTTGTTCAGGGCCAAAATGAACACAATAGTGAGAACTAAACTGTGTCTGGGGATATACTGTGTGAGTTCTATTGTCTTGGTTTACACAAACGGCTGAACAATTCAAGACATCATGTTCACTGGTTAACTAGTAAATCCGATAGTGTCTCACCAGGAAAGGTTCAAAGCCAAAAGCTACCTATCCTTTTGCAGAATATTTTCAATTTCTGTACTCTCTGTAATTAAATCATGTTGTTGCATTTTCTCTCCGTTAAATTCCATTCATGTGGGGGATTGTTGGAAAAATGGTGTTTTATAGGCTTATTTTGGGCCATCTTTGAGCCCAAAATTGAGTGGGCCCCAAACGTCTTTTGGGGTGGGTCCGAAGAGGTGATGTGTTCCTTGTCGCATGGCAAGTCACACGGTGAAGACGGTTCGTCAAAACCATTTGTGAGTGAATGGGAACTTGACATCGTTTTCAGGTTCGTGGGATGGACATTTAAATATTTAAATATGGATTTCCTTTTAATGGGTTGTCTCACATTGAAACTTTAAGAGAGTTTTTTTGTGTATATAAGTTCTAGATTACAACACTTGGGTTGGGCCCCAAGGGGCACTCTAAGTTTATAGAATTGAGGAGTTATGGACAAAGTGAACCTTAACCCAAACCACCACACGCGCGCCGCCATCATAGCCGACCGGCCGTGTCGGGCGCGGGTGTGGGTTGTGGGTTAGGTCGGTTCTAATATTAATTTTTTAGACAAAATTCATTTGAATTTTTTCAAATTTCTTGCGGAAAAAATTTAATTTGAATTTATTTTTTGTCCAACTTTTTTGTGCCTCTTCCAGTCCAAATTCCATACAGATTCAAACTGTTTTTAGTTATTAAACTTCCAGAAACTATCCAGCAGTTTACAGAATTCAAAAGGGGCCAGATCTGTTTGAATCTGTTCGGAACAGTCTTGTATCTGTTCAAAATTCAAATCTGAATCTGTTGGACCGAATCACATCTGTTCGGACAGAAAATCTTTGCCTATAAATACCTACTGTTCCAGTAGTCTTGTAATCCGAAAAAAAAAACAGTCTGAAAATAGTACTTTTGATGTCCAAATTTTTATCTTAGGTGCATTATTCTTCATATTAGTTTTAGAATAAAATTCAGAGAGTTAGAATACAGGTTTGGTTCGATGTACAAATTGTTTGGAGTGCTACTACAATTTGTGAAGATCATTGTATCTTGGAGATAGACACCACTTAACCGTAAGCACTATAGCGGGGCAAATCTGTCCTAAGGACAGAGTATCTCATACTCGACTTGGTCTTTTTATTTTCTATTTGGTTCAACAAAATAAATTCTGTAAGTTTTTTATTTTATTTTGTTTGATTTAGTTTCAATTTATTTTATTTACACCGAAGATTATTCCAACAAATTGTGATTGAGGTTTTGACAAAATTAGCTGAATCTTCACTTGTTAATTCAGATTTGTTTGTGTTTTCTGTGCGAAGGATCTCTCTCTCTCTCTCTCTCTCGCTCTCTCTCTCTCTGTGGTCTTTGTGGCAGGAGGAAAATGCTGCTTAGGTGTGATAATTGTTTCAAAGTGATTTAGCATTGAAAGACCATTGCTGGCTTTCACATGATTTTTAGGTTCAATCTGGAGATTGTAAGTTATAATCTGTTATTCCTTAATTGCAGATCTCCCTATTTTAGCTCTTGGACAAATTGGACAGATGAAAACCTCATGCTTTTGAGGGTTTTATTAAATATGTAGGGGACTATTTTTCTCTCTCTCTCTCTCTTCCTTCCTCGTCTTTTTTAGTTTTTTTTGTTAAAATATGAGAAAAAAATTAATATGTTTGAGATTATTTTTTTAATTTTATATATAAAAAAAGTGCAAAAATAGAAATAAAAAAAAATCTTCAACTTCTTTGTATAATTTATTAGTTTTTTTATTTTTTTGTGACTTTCATTTTTGGATTAAAAGTTATTATTCCCAAACAAGAGTTAAAACAAGTTGTAGCACCACCAAGGCACCGCACCACACCACCACCATCGCAACACAACAAGAGTTAACACTTGAGGTCTTACCTCACCTTATCTTACCACCGCCATTCACCACCACTCACATGATGTCACCTGCGTGATGTCGAGAGATAATGTTTAATTTTGTGATCGATTTACGTGCTATTCGATTTTTTTTCCTCTCATCTAATTAAAATGCCTTTTTTTTTTAACAAATTGTGAGGAAGTCTATCACGGTACGTAGTTTTTTTGGATTTTTTTGTCAAAAAATTATTTTTAAAATAAAAAATTAATTTTGAGTCTTAATATAGGTCTCGTTTGGAAAGTTAACTATTTTAGGCTTCGTTTAGGAAGCAAAAGTTGGGGTTTTTTTTTGGCTATTTTAGGCACAAAAAACAAAATAGACTTTTTAACCTAATAAGACAAAACATCACGTTCAACTCATAATCATTACATTCTTTCTCTCACAAAAAAGCCAAAAAAACTTAAAGTCCTTCCAAACCAGGCATTTTAGCCCCAAGCTAAAATAGCCAAAAAAGTCAAAAAGCTAAAAAATCAACCCACTTCCCAAACGAACTATTAGTTTTTGCCTATTTTAGTAGGCTCAAATAGTTATGTTTGGGAAGAATATTGGGTTTTTTTATAATTGGATGTGATATTTGTGACAGAAAAAATGTAATAATTATGAATTTGATGTGATATTTTATCTTACTGGCTATTTTAACTAATTTTGTCTTTTTGTGGATTTAGCCCAAAAAGTTTTTTTAAAAAAAAACTTTGCCAAACAAAGACTTTATGTGTAGAAAAATTTAACAATTGAAAGCCAAAATACAAACAGATTTACTAATAGCTAATGAAATTTTTTATCATTGTGTGTGATCATATGTAAAACAGGCTCATAAAAAT